ATGGCAGGCAGAGCAAAGAATTGAGACACCGCCATCTGTGGATAGAGAAAACTGGGCGCCTCAACTAGGAAACGGTTCTCCGCCAGGCTCCAAAACTGCTTACAGAATTGGACATCTGCATTCCGCGTTATGTCCGCAATTTTAACGCCCCGTTCTTCTGGCGACAAGTATGAAGTGACTGTCCGATAGACGGTGTTGAAGATAGCTGTCAGGCCAGCCTTTGAACCCTGAATTGGAACAAACGTAACTAGTTAATAAGTGAATTTGAAAGAGCCATAACTGAGGGCTAAAAAGCCAAATCTATAACAACGGTGTTCTGTTCCGCCAGTCGGATTGAAGCTAGAGACAACGACAGAAACCACCTTGCGCAAAAGCTGCTAATATGGCATTCTGCCAGTGTTGGTCGTAGATGGCACAGTGTCATGGTAGGGGAGATCTAGTGTGCAAGGGGAGGTGAGATCGCCTCTGATCTACCTTATATTTAATTACTCATGGTCAGCAAGGGACTTCAACGTTACAAGACTTGGAGCACCAGTAACAGTGCATGAAAATACCAGAGAATCCTCACAAAAACGCGATGCCCAAAAGAATTAAGCTTGGAAAAGACCAATCACCAATTAATGGCTAAGAGGGGAAGGGCCAAACAGCGCCTTCTTTCAACCAGGAGACGGTTGTAGCCATCGTAGGAGGTGACGAAACTTTTATGGGTAGATGTAATCCCAAATTCTTCTCTTGTTAATAACTGGCTTCGCCTGCGCCCCGATATTCTGAAGAAGAACCATAACCCCCGCTCCTTTGCACTATGAAGATGTCCTGGATTAGCAGTGTCCCACAAAAATACAACCGGTGTGAGCTAAATGAAGATGGGTATGCACTTGAAACCGTGGGTCCGGATCTACGCCTCGGTAGCAGGGCGTCGGTGAATGTTGACGACACTTAAGGCATTCCAGGTAAACATAACACTAAATTAACACGCTTTGGGTGGCTAATACGTTCAGGCACCCCGATTTATTGGCGCCTACATGAGCGGCTCAAAGGCCACTAGCCTGCCCGCATGGGGTCCTCCGTTGAGCACTTACTTATGCTCAGCCTTACAGCTTGCCTCTTCAAAATATAGATTCAGGCCTTTAATCTTAAGAAAATCAAAAAATGCTTGGGACCGCTAAATGCAACTTCACATATTTGGTCAGCATTTAAAAATCCATGGGATAGTTCAGCCATGTTTACGACGATATTCACCAGTCTTTCTGGGAGGGCCTCCCTATATGTATATAATCTCGAAGCACTTTCAGCCTAGTTTTAGTTTTTGTTAAGATGGCACAGGACATGAGTCAACACCCTTGTCGTCCTGGGGTCAGGATGAAAAAGGAAGCCCCAGACGCGAAAGTGCGCAGGTACAAAGGG